GGATGCGCGGCGCCTTCGGACCAAGCGCCCTTGTAAGCGGCGTTTCTGACCGTCTTTGCAGCTCCGGCAAGAATTGGTTTTTTACACCCAGAACTCCGAACACGTCGGTGTTTCTAGGGTATATATTGGGTAGGGGAGGAGGGAGGTGAAGGTACGCCGCGAGACGCGCAGCGCGGTTTTCCGCCGTGCGAATCGGACAGAAGGTGGAGGGAGGTGCCGCCGCGAATACCTCGCAGGCATACGTCCAAATGGACCGCACGCAGGCAGTGAATAGGCGGCGTTTGAGGGCAAGATGTAGTTCGGGGGCTCGAAGGAGTGGGCGTAGAGGGTGGTTCGGGCAGTTATTTTTGTTTCGTCTCGTAGAGATTTACGGAATTCTCTGCTGAGAGCTCGCGCCCGCGCTCCGTCTGCGGGATCGCCGCAGCGGCTGTGTAGCTTAGAATATCTGCGCAGCTCCCGTAGCGTCCTCCTTCTGCTCATCTGTAAGCTCAGGACGTGACTCCGGTTCGCGAGTAATTTTGGTATTTGATTTGTAGAACGTTCGAATCGCGTTCGAAGTGATGTGAGTCACCGCGCTATCGATTTCGCCCCGTGAATTTAGCTGTTTTCGCTCAAGCACGGTGCTTATGTGAGCTGTGAAACAGTTGTGTGATATTTTGAATTTGTTTCGGCGTGCTGCGGCGAAAGACGAAACCATGAATGTTACTGGCCTGTGATCGGAAACCAGATAGGTGATCGAAAGCGGGGCTCTGCAGTCCATTCCTTTCGCGATCGCAAGGTCGATAATTCCCGGATTTGCAGTCGACGGGTACATCGTGGGTTCTTTCGGGGCGCATACGTATACGCCACGTCTCGTCGCTATGTTGTTGGCTAAACGGGTGCCATTTCGGTTTGCACCGAGGCAGCCCCACTATCTGTTCCTTGCATTGAAATCCCCTAGAATGAGAACTTTAGTATCTAACGCGAGTATCGCATCGATTCAGGCAGTGTCTAGTTGCTAATTTGGGCAGTAGACGGACGCGATTGTAAGTCCGCCGCCAACCGTCCAAACTCGCACTACAACTGCCTCTGTCCCTTTATACATATGGTACACTTAAAAATTCCATACGTTTCTATTTAAAAATGTTCCTGCAACAATTATGTGTGCAATGAAAAATCTTATAAAAAAAGGTTTACTAAATTTCTGATATTCTGCAATTTATCGGTTAATGCTAAAAATGGATTTGTTGTTTGGAAGGTGAGAAAAAAGGATTCTAATGATAGAAACAAATGTTATATTGTGGCAACATTTGTCTAGTAGCAGTTTAGAAATGAGAAAAAGAACAGTACTTGGGTGAAAGTTTGATTAAGTTGGCCATAATGTATCGTTCTTTGTGTAAATTAATTAAACAATATTTGAAGGCACAAACAAAAATTTACGAAAATATACATTTCATTGTATAAGAGAATATGTATAAAAGATCCCTTCGTATTGATTTCTTATGCTAATAAAAAATTACACCTATAATAATAATAATAATAGAATAAACTTTTTTTTCGGTATAATAAAAAAGTTGCTTGATTTTGACGATTCTCGAGCGAGCGGATCGAATCGTGTTGTCAACAACGCGCGGTTTCCAGCCTTCCCAACCTGAAAAGCAGTACAGACTGGCAATTTTGGAGGCAAAGCCTTCGACTTTATTCGCTGTATACAGGTGTCCTGGGAGAAATCGTCTAAATAACGAAAATAAGATCTTAAGGCAATTTTAAGCGTATTTATATATATTAGATATTTAGATTTCCGAATGGCTGAGCCGCAATAAACACTCAAAAGATTCTTTCTAGGCAAACATTTACATTACAATATCATATAAACACACTAAAAACATGTAAATTATTTACGAAATAAATGAATGTATTTGTTCAGAAAGACAAAATTAAGGCAGAAATTAAACGAGTAGTGCAACAGAATGGCACAGAGTTTCCCGTATTCCTTTTTCTATTTCCGTTGATCTCGGCTCTTCGGACTCTTACCAGCCGTCATTTATCGCCGACAAAACTTTTTTTTTTTTAATTTGCTTACTTTTTCGGTTTCTTCACCACCACCATCATCATCTAAACGATATTGGTAGGACTTTTTCCAAATTGAAGAAAACACTGTCGATCTGGCTCGAGTCGAATGTTTGAGATTTTGAAATACTTTCTTTAAAATTTGGGGGTACATTAATTATTCAAAACATTAGTTTTACAATTCCGTACACGTATATAAGGCTGCGTAAAGGTATATAATGCTGCGGAAAATCGATTTCGAGATTTCAACGGAAATACATTTTTTGGGGTCCCCCAGATACAGAAAAAGTATTGGTTTTTCAAAACGTCCGTTGTCCGTCCGTCTTTGCGTCTCTCTGTCCGTCTGTGAGCAACCACTAGCGGCTAATCCACACATAGTATTTTCTTCCAAATTGAAGAAACCCCACCATCTCGAGTCGAAGCTTCAAGATTTTGAGAAACATTCATTGAAATTTGGGGTACCCTACACTAAGGCCCCCGAACATTTTCAAAATATTCTAAAAAACAGCTCAATTTTTTTTCTTTAAATTTCTTGAAAGAATTGTGTAAATTACACTTATAAAGGAGGTATAGGTTAGATTTTCACAGCTAACTACAAAATTGAAAATGAGAGAAATTTTGGAGATTTTTAATTAAAAAAATGTTTTGGGTGGCAATAGATGGCAAGAGTATGTGGCAAGTTCTAATAGCTAGCTGAGACCAAAGGAAATAGAAAACTAATACGGATAAGTCTGTACCATTTTGTAAGTACCACTAGTTTACTTTCTCGTCCTTACTTTGTAAGAAGAAAATGTGGTAAAAGAAAAGTTTTGTTTTATTTTATATTTTGAAGCCACTGTCTTCTTTAGTTGGGCAACTTAACATTCCAGCTGATTCTTTCTTCTAAGATCTGTAAAGGAAAATGAAGTTATGACTTGAGTATGCTGGAGAGAAAAAAGTTCTTAAATTACAGACAGGTAATCTTCTGAAAATAAATACCTTTGGCAGAAGTTTTTCTTGCCGTAAAGACTCAGATGCAATTGTAGATGGCTTGTCCTGCGAGGAATTTGGGGTTCATTGCCATTGTCATTATTGCAATCACAATCATATTTTTTTCTGCAATTTCTTAACTAATTGAAATAAGTGAATATAATGTATAAAAAACATCCCTACACTGCACAGAATGGGCACATATTTTTACAAACCTTATAACTTCGGAGTGGCAAATTCATGTCTCTGAGAATATACTCTTCATTATTACAAAGCAGGTTCAGAAAGATATTGTATTCCTGATATTAGTTATACTTCTTTCAGTATCATTCGCATATGGGCTGGGTGAGCAGAAAATAAATTTGGAATTGCTCCATCCGTTAATCAGGGTTCACTGGTTTATGTTGAATTTATTTAGTCTGCACTGAACTGAAGGCTGCATAAAAATGAGTATGATGTTGGAACCCATTCCTCTCTTCTCAGCTCTAAGCCATGCTTGCCCTCTTTCTTGGTCTTACTCACTGGGAAATGTAAACATCAGTCAAAGAAAGTCATGAACAACTTTGCAACCACATATGATCACATTCTCATAAACAACACCGATGTAAACAAAAAAAAGATTGTGTAATTTGTTAATCACTAAACTGAAAGAATACCTACGTAAATTAACTCATTTACCTGAAGAAAGACAACATTTTTTTGCGGTTTCCTGCTAGTGCAGCCGTAAACAGTACAAGTTACCATACTATTACCCTGAAATAACAACAAATAGCTTAAACTATTAAAAGGAAGTTACAGTGTAAAAACCATATGTTAATATATAATTAAAATAGGCCTTCGTCTACCATGTACACGTAGGCTTCAGAATACCATGTTCACTTTCATCTTGCCCTTATCATGCTAGATTTCCACCTTGAAAAATATACCTCCAAAGTTCAAACAATTTATTTTTCAGACAAAAAATGTTTGTTAAACAATTTTTCCTAAAATAAAAAAAATAACTAGCTTGCAAACCTGTACACTGAAACGCACTGAGATGTTTTGGACAACAAAACCTGGCAGACAGACCAGCGATTGGCTTGACTTTTTGGGGCCGATACCACCTCCATATATTATAACCTCCTTGCACTAGCCACATCTTCATCTAGCTAAAAAAAAAAAGCTACAATCAGAAACCACATAACAAAGGTTTTGAGACAAAATATACTACTTTAGCTTTCAATAAGTTAAAACATGCACTTTTGATTTCATATTTTATGTGGAACTAAATACATTAATTGTAATTTAACAATCTGTAAAGGACCTGTTTGACAGTACTTTCCACTCATTTCGGAAAAGAATGGGAGAAGCACATTTTATAAGACATTTCTCATCCATCTAGCATCTTGGCACGTATTCTTTCACATATCTATCTTTTGATTTTAATAGAAACATGACCAAAATTGCTGATGTGAAGGCTAAACAGTTAAATTTTAAGGAAATGACAGATATATACAAAAAATCGGTTATATTACTCTGTTGGAAATATGATTTGAAGCCATAAAACATTCAGCTTGAAACAGATGTTTAAAAAATGTAATTTACTTCAATTTTTGTGTGATCAAAAGTATTTAATAACTCTCAAATTACTCTCCTTCAGATTTTGTCCAGATTGTCCTTTTACCTAAATGCTCATTTTAATAAATTACAAGCTCAACCAGTTGAGTTATAAGAGAGAAATTACGAGAGAAGTTACATGTAGAAACATGCATTTGACATATTTGCTTCAATTCACGCCATACATCAGTACATACAAAGAGTGCTAGGTTTGCCCATCAGTTTTGACCAAAAGTTTTCACTGTATGGTCTGGACTGTAGCAAAATTGCATTTTTTTGGACAACATATTAATATTTAGGGCAAAAACATATGTAATTAAAACAGTTTCTGCATGCCGATGGACTATGTTCTTCTATTTATTTTTAGAAAGGATTCATGAATGATACACCAGTAGATGGATATGTGAGATATGTTGTTGCAACAAAGTATAAAATCAAAAAATAGGATATAAGGTGACAGAATATTTATTTCAAGTAAACAGCTATTTTGTTTCACGTATAATAAGTTGATGTTGCATGAAAAACCTTTCTTTAATCCACTTACTTGGAAGACAGTGTTGTGGCATTTGAATTGTTTACTTCAGAAACCTATCAAACGCCAAATTCCTCACTCCGAGAGATGTAAGAAATAGTCACCCAATTTATCTGATTTCAAAATACTTGAATATATTAAAGCAGTTGATAAATAAATATTTTTCATATAAATATGCACTAAACTATGTGTCTATCCTCTTGGACCAATAATCTGCCGCTAATGTGTCTTATTAGATTTTGGCATTTGACTGTTTTCTGAAATAAATGATTCGTTTGGGGCATGCATTTTTGCATGTACTATTATTTTCTGACATTCGTCACACTCTTTGTTTCAATTTTGTTTTGGTTTGCTCGCTTGCTAGTTTATTCTATTATCAGAGTACATAGAAGTGAGCATCAATACAGTTATCTTAATTCCGTGCGAAATAAGAGATTTTTAATTGGGGGGTGGCGATGAATACTTGCGTCCCTATAGATATACA